ACACACACACACACACACACACACACACACACACACACACTCGTGCGCACACACACGCACGCACGCACACATACCTGTTTATTCTTGCATATCTATTCCATTCTCGGAAGGTACAAATGCGCGAAGGTGGATGCATAATTATTATGCTCTTTAGAGTAACGCTAATACGTAACCAGACACTTATACTATCACAGCACAACCGATGACGATGTATAATATGCACATCACAGTAAGCACATTAGAATGCTACGAATAGGAAAAACAAAGAATGAAGACAGCATTTTATACGGTACGTTTTTAAATAAATGTTTTTGCCTCCGACTTTGTATCCCTAAAAATGTTGTGGGAAGGAGTTCCAGGCTGATGGAGCTAGATGAGACCTTACTTCCTCGGTGCTTTCATTAGAGACTGATTTCCTTGTCTGAGAAAGTTAGTGGAACATATATGTTTTGAAGGAGGCAACCGAAAAATAAGGGGGCTTAATTGTTAACACCTTATAGTCAAGGACGGTAATCTTGCAAGTGATACAAGCTGTTTTTATGAGCCAATTGAGTTTTCTTATAATAGCGGTGATAATGAGGTCGTTCTTCCTCTTGTAAGACTCAATTGTCGTGGATTGGGTTTGAAAGAGCTGTAGTTTCAAGATGGTGGTTTTCGGGTGGTTTACTTAGAGTGAGTTGCAATACTCCTTGAGAGAGAACACAAAAGGTGAAATGGGAGTTTTTAGTGGGACTTCATACAAGAATAGACAATTGCCTAATGCTGCGTTGTTCATAGTAAAGCACTCCGATATGAGATAGCGATAGTCCATTGATAGTTTTACATCAAAAACACACGGGCTTTTTGTGTTGTTTTATTTGTTTTGTTTTTGGTAGTGACATCTTTCCATTCCTATTATGCACTCTTCATCATCGGATATACGAACTTTTGGATTGCATAGTTCTCGTTCGCTAACATCAGTGATTTAAAGTCACCAACGCTTCAGCCCATGCTTACAATTAGTGAATCAACATGCGGAGGGGGGAAAGTTGTATTCAGCTGAGTATCAGTTTGTTTCAGTAGATGTTTTACGGCACTCGCAACTGCATAATAAGGTCATATGAGCGCCAAGGGGTGGCTGTCAACAGAGAAGACCTCACAGAGAATTATGCTTTCTCTGCTCACCTCTCTAGCTTCAACAGAACAAAGTCTGTTTCGACTATCAAGGCACCCTTTAAATAGCGGGTCACAAGAGTGAGACAAACATATATAAAGGAGTAGAGAAAAAAATGACGATAGTGAGGATTAAGAAAGAAAGAGCAGCAGTTCCTTGTTGAAGTTCAGGCACAGTTATGAGCATGACATTGATGAATCAGCCCATTTACAATTACAATTCTACTGTGCATAAGAGCATGGTTAATGGCCTACAGACACTTCAGTCAGTAGCACCGTCCGGGGGGGGGGGGGTGGGAGGGCGTATCATAGGTGATTTACCAAGAGGTAAAATGTATGAAGCATATACAATTGAACCCTAATCTGAGCGTTGCGGTACGTCATGGGCAAGATCAAAATAGGTTGACTGGGTTCCACGCAGAGTCACGGACTTCGTCCAGCCTGAAAAAAATAGAGATTTCAACCAGTCGAAAAAACGTATTTGAAATTCCAAATGTTGTTGACAATCGCTCAACACTGATAGAATGATCGATTGTATCAAAAGCTGCACTAAGGCCGAGAAGAGCAAGGGTAGAGTTTTAGCCTTTTCTCCATGTCATCTCACTGCTCGTCGCAGCTGTTCTCAATCAGGAACAAGATTATGATCTACAGAAATCGTAACATCTGTAGATACACAATCATAATGAATAGGCCTGTGATTTTTTACTTCATTGCCATCCTGAGCTAAGTTGTAAAGACAGTTAATACAGTGCACCGTGTGGTGGAGTAATCACGAAAATATTTAATTTGTCCAACCTCCCATGGACATTTTTTTTCTCTCAAAACCAGGTGTCCTGACTTCGGGTCAGCATGTCCTATCTTTGACATGACCATCGTAGTGAGCACATAACCTCAGCGACAACATCAACAAACACGGATTCGCTTACAAATAAGGCGTTAGGTGAGTTGCGTACCCGCACTGCGGAACGGGTGCTTATGAATAGTGCTGTAAACTCCATGTATCTAAATCAATACGCAGTATACATTTTCATCGGTGCAGAGTGAAAGCAACCCTGAAACATAAAAGAGGCCTAGTAAATATTGTACAACGCTACCGCATAATCGTATAAGATAATTGTACGCTTGACGAAACTTGTCAGGAAAAGTGGCGTTGGCTATTTGATTTTGCTGTTTGGGTTTTTTTCTTCTTTTTTTTGAGGGCATGGTTTAAAAAATCCTATCAAAAGGTCATCAACACGTGTTTGCTATACAGTAATAGTGAGAAGCGTGTGGAATGTGTATGCATGTTAAATACTATATACTATAAGAACAACACTCAGAAAGTATTCCCCTGTGATTTTATTGCGGTGCGTGAGGATGTCATTTCGAGGAAAGAAACGCCGCTTACTTGAAACAAGATGCAATTACGCATAAGAAGACATTGTTACAGACATAGACTAAAAATCAATAGAAGACAGACATGCAAATAAAGCTCGAAATACTCGTCTAAAAAAGATTTTAGTTTGGATTCTTCTTTCAAATTTGCTACGGGTTTTCTTTTTGTTTTGTTTTTTATGTTGTGTTTGTTTTTGTTTTTATTCATAATATTTTACTGTGTACGTTTTCATGTTCGTTTACGGGCTGCAATTTCAGCACATAGGTTGCACTGTTGAGGCCGTATGAATTGAGAACGTGTCTATTCACAAAGTATATTCGGGCCTTTTCACAAAGTATGTTCAGGCCTGCAACGTAACACAGTCGTAACGTAGTGGATCGGCTTTTCCTACCGCGTCATCACTAGCTAACAAAATCACCGGAGACGTCATGGAGACTTGGGGCTGGTTAGCTCTCTTGTGCAAACACAATCTACTTTGTGACTTCCGGCAAAATTCTGTCTATCTTCCCGAAAAGCGCTACTCGGCGAGAGTGGAAGTTCTTTTCTCTGTGCTCCATCGTGTTTGTCCAGGCACTCTTAGTTTCATTACCCGTGACCGACACTGAGGCCTTCGCGTCCTAGCACCCTCTTTTGCTTTAAATTCATTGACAAAAACAGCCCAGACCTCATTTTATATCAGGCATTGGTTTCAAACGAAATTTTGAAAGAAGGTTGGGGGCCTCATAGATGCCTGGAGCCAACAAGAGCTACGCAAATGTGCTTTATCATCCTTGGATACATTTCTACATTTTAGATCGGAAATTAGAATTTTAACTCGTTGTATTACGTCTCCCCGTGGGAACATCCGTTTCGCATCAAGGCTGGCAACGGTCGATTTACTGAAATCCTAAGTAGAGGAAATTGACCTCCCGCTGAATTCAGACATCAAAACGGGAGCGAATGTCACAGGACTCGAGTACCAAAAAATGGGAGCCTGCCGTTTCGGCACCAACAGGTTTTATCTATCTCTGAAAAAGGATGAATGCTTTCGATCAGCAAAATACAACGGTTTCTTATCAGTAAGATAAAGCCTCCTGGTTGAACGTTTGACTGAGTTTTGGAATGTTTTATTACATTGTTGACCGTTATCTGTTTATTTTAGTTGATAGAATGGCTATTCGTCAACATAGCTTTTTTATTGTTCTAATTTGTTTTTGTATTGTTGTGTTGTCGTTGTTGTTGTTTTTTTGTCTTTTGTTGTTGTTGTTTTCGTTGTGTGTGGGTTTTTTGTTGTTTTTTGTTTTTGTTTTTGTTTCTTTTTGTTGTTGTTGTTCGGTGTGGGTTTTTTTGGGAGGGCGGGGGTTGTTTGTTTGTTGTTGATTTTTTTTGGGGGAGGGGCTACTTGATGAGTGATTTTATGAGAATATATCAGAATCCTTCGTAAAAATTACAAGCTATACATTGATCTTTTGCGAAAACTTTATATCCCTTCAAAATATAATAATATGCTTCTCATAAAGACTGAAAGTGATCCTTCAGTTTTGTTACAGAGGATATAAATACTTTGCTTGATATTGTCTACACATGATTCTACTATATCTAGATAATTAAAAGCGAACAACATGCAATGAGACAAGCAGTAGGAACGAGTCATAGCAGCATTCTCTGTTAAAACCCTGTTCAAATAACGCGCTATCGGTTCCTGGTTGCTGAAGTTCATTCGATGTAGACTGTGAAGCGAAATATTAATGCCAGCATGTTCCTACACAGTTGATGCTAAGTTAATCCTTCTCTATAACATTGTAATGCGGGCAATTTATTGGAATCTCAGGTTTCAGTTCGCGTTTCTTTCGCCCAGATCTATCTAAAGTTGAAGATACACTGTAGAACCGGAGGCTATCAACTAGATTATTACAATAGAAGAATGGTACTAAAGAGCACATTAACTCATTGAGGCCATGGATTTTGGTTATTTTACAACGCTTAAAGATACGCTGTTTTGAGATATAACTTCATCATTTGAATAGATTTTTCGTTTATATTTTGACACATTGATTTTGGTTTGCTGCTGAACTGATATATGTGTCCGCTACATCCTCAAAGAGTTACAGGCCAGTGAAGGCTGCTCACGATCAACAAATGTCTAAGATTCAAGCAAAGTGTTTTAGAAGTTTCACAATATTAGATTGAAAGTTCTTTTGGCGATGTGCATTTTTTTTCTTAGATTAAAGCAGCCTGAAAATGAAAACTACTGAAATGTTTGTTTACAAAAAAGTAAATCACTTTACTTTATAGAATGGGATTGAAACTGTTATTGTTTCAGTTTTTTTGTAACGCCGCTCTGAACACATACAGGCTATTTTTAGAAAGGGAGAACTTACCAGTGTTAATAGTAACGACGAAGCAAGAAGGGAGGAAAGGTGGCAGACACGACTGACCAAAGTTATTATCACACATGTACGTCTGGGCATAGATGTTCCCGAGTGTTGTTCCACGCTCAGAAGCCTGGCACCTCCTGCTGGTGAGATGTAAGTCTATTTATTACCCGCCAACTCACTAGGGACAATTAGAGCTGTTGCATTTATTTCCCCTGAATTCACGAGGGGATCACAGAGGAAATGCGCCCCCTGCTGGTGGGCAATGGTTCTGTTTAATTTGTTTCTCTCGAACCCACTGGGAAAATCAAACTATTCTGAGAAATGATTTGACGTCAGGATGCTTCAGTGGAGGCTGGTAGAAAAGAATATCTTCCCAACGCTGCTTTCTTTCCTAATTAAAATGTTATCATATCAGGAATAGGTATACACAAGTCATGCCATTTTAAAATAAACGCTACGCGCAAAGAAACCAAAGCTAAAGGTTTGCTCGCAATGATTTTTATGTTTAAAAAATACTTGTGGTTACTGCAGTTGTATCTGCTACAGTTTCACTTTTAGTTTTAAAAAATATTTTAAAAAAGAAAAAAGCTGGATTGGTAGACCTTTCACAATTTTACAATTACATCACTTTTACTGTCATCATTGAAGCTGCTGTGCTTGCTACGTATTATCTATTTTCCTCTTGCTGCTGCAACTTCCTCTGCTGTTGCTACAGCAAATTAATATTTATTGGCCGAAAAATTACTCTCCCTCACAAATCCTCTTTAACTCATTGAAGACGCACTGTTTCGGAGTACATACTTTAAAAATATAGAGGCATAGTTTCGTTTTTCGATCTGATTTTTCCATTCTGTTTTCTTTGTCTGAAACTTTAATGAGGCATGCAAAAAAGTATGTATGCTATGAAATATGCAAAGTGACGTATTAGGTTTGTGTACGATGGTTCGATACGTGCTGCAACGTCGCCTTTGGTCTGTTACTGATTGCTGGTCGGACACATGCGTCCGCTTCGTCCTTAAAGAGTTAACTGCAATGAACCATTCTCATATCACAACTTTCTGACAATTATCTTCTTTTTTTTTTAATTGATGACTCTTTCAACCAGTTATCAGCTAACGACTCTTCAGAAGATCACACATTGTGGTTTTTATTGTTTCGTATGGAGATTTTGTAAGCTGAAAGTATCTCTTCTTTAAAGTGTGTGCTGGTCATCACGGGAGCCTGTTTTCGTAGAGAATGATGAGCTAATTTATCGTCAAGTTTTGTCGAAAGGCAAGAACAACTCGAGTTGGATAAATCATAGATACCGTAACCCAGTTTTGCCAATCATGAGTGAACTTGCTGAGGAAAATACGGAAGTGCAAATCCGACTTCAATTTCTGCACAGCGTGTGTTACTTCTGACTATGAAAATCAAAGCCCTTGTAGACAATAAATAAATCATTTTGACCTTTTCGAAGACGAGTTACTTGCTCCCTCACCAGGCATTCAGACTGAAGGAGGATTTTTTTCCCCGGATGAAACAGATAGCTTTCTCAGATCTTAAAATCCAACTTCTGTAAATTGGCTGCACTCGGTAACAGATGTGTGAAAGCAATGGTGAGCGATGTAATGGACTGTATCAGGACAAAAAGGAGCGTTACATAATTATGTCAGAAGTAGCGATCTAAAGGACAAAGTGGACAGTGAACAGAACGGCTCCTGCTTCCTCCTATAATTTATTAAATATTCCAAATATTTGACAGAATTTCTATTTAAAGTATGAAATAATGACAAAAAATAGCAAGGAACATAACTCAACGAAACAGTCAAGTAGATGCATCTAAGGCGGAACAAGAAGGAAAAAAGACGGAAGATACCCCGAATATGTATCGAGGAGTAGAAGAAAAAGATGTTTGATTTTTATTTTATTTTTTATTTTTTTTATTTTTTTGGGGGGGTGGGGCAAGTCTTTGCACCGTGTACCGAATGTCATGCTAGTTTTTTAAATAGTTTTTTAAAATATGTTTTTAAACTTTTTAAGCAACCTGGGGGTGAGTTTGGGAATACAATAATCATTTGTTTTGAAACGAAGGTTAATAAAAACTATTGTCTAAAAGTTATGTTGGAAATTCCTTAGCGTAAACATCATCACTCCACCCCTCATCCACGAATTAAATAGAAAACAAGAGCAGATAAAAGTATAAGTGGTAATTGAGAACACTTTTATAAAAGGATTGAGTACGGAATGGACATACCCTTGGATGACCAATAAGGGAAAATTTAATTAATCAAAAAAGGTTGAAAAGTTACCTATGGATTTTATTTAGTCTTGTCCTTTATGAATAATTCACTGCACAGACAAGTCCATTAAGAAACATGCACGGGTTGAGTTGCGATCAGGTAACTGCCGACGACAGGCCAAAATCAAGCGTTAGTGTTAACCTGCGGTGCATGGGGCTGGGCACGTCCCGATAATTCGAGGACGGGGCGGGGGAGAGCGGGTGTGAGTGCGCGTGCAGCTAAATTGCTCACCCGCGTCTGGAGCCCGAAGGCGTAGAACGCAAAGAGGGGGTGTTGTTTGGGAGATGGATGGGGGGTGATGGGGTGGTGTGAATGTGGTAAGGGAGTTTGTAATGTGGGAGGGAGATTGAGGAGACGGAGTGATATTCATGTAATGTACTACGACGCATAAGCTTGAAAAAGGAGGAGGACAGGACAGGGATAAAAGCCGAAATTATAGTGAAATATGTGAGGTGCAGCGAGATGTCAGTGGGGCGGTAGTGCTAGTGAAGGGAACTAGACAGACTCACGAAAGAGAGAGAAAAAGTTACAAAAAAGAAGAGCAGAAATATAAAAGAAGCGCAGCTGATTGGGCGCTCTAAATCAGGGCGTGATGTGTGGCATTAATTGTGTGATAAAAAAGGGGTATGTGGAAGAACAAGAAGGTAAAGAGACAGACCGAACTGTAAGCATAAAAGAACCGCTTCTTTATTACAGTATGTCAACATCCTTGTCGATTGAGGGGACCGCTTGTAGAGCAGATTACAAAAAGCCGGCAGACACAATTCAGAGACGTCTCCGGCGAGCACCCAGGAACTATTCGGAGACGCACTCCCGCACACAGATCCATCGCTTGGATGGGGGAGGGTCAAACTGCGTATTATTTGCTGCAGATCACACATATAACCACTAAAACATTCGCAAATCAATTATTTTCAAGAAAATTTCAGACTTAACTACAAAATATGAAATTATGGGTTAAAACAGGGGTGGAAACTCCCCCCCCCCC